GTATGTTTGGTTATAAGGGGAACCATGGAACCATGGAACCACGCGGGGCCGCCAGGTCACGAGGGTTTTCCCTACGTCATAAACGCCACGGAGCGTAAGCGGAGGTGCGGGTTTTACATTTTCCGGAGGAGGACGAAGGAAAATGGTCCTAAACACCGGACGAGTCCGCATGGACGAGGGAGGTGGGAGTGTGGGATGAGCGGTTAGCGGTGGGACCCACAGCAGCTTGTTGCCAAATGCTGAGAAGCATAAAAAGGACGAGGTCCGCCCATCTCGGGGAGTGAAAGAGACTTGGTTTCTTTTTTCTTTTCTTCATGCAAACGGAGTGAAACCCAGCGGTAACGCTACCCAACACGCGGTGTTCTCGTTTTTTGTCCGTGAGGACTACGGCAACGTGCCTCCCCGCTCAACAGTCAGACACAAGGGTGTCGTCTTGACTACGACCAAGTGGGAGTGGTACCCTCTCAATCCTGCAAACCGTGGACGGTCCAAGTGGAACGTTGGACGAGAGTCACAATCTTCCTGGTAGCTTCAAGTGAAGCCGCGACAGTCATGGAGGCGAGAGCATATCCGACATCGAACGGGGTGAGAAGCAGAACGCTGGAAAAAGAGACTTTTTATCGTGCTTGTGTGACAGGCAGCACTTTGGGTGCGCTGGCAGCCAATGACGACAGGCGCGGAGCGCTCTTGAACTGGCTTTGCTCCGTGAGGAGAGTTTGCAACGACAAAGGCGCCAACTTCATGGAAGCGAGGGTGACCGAGCTGGCTCGACAGAGTCAACTCTTTCTTGCTCGGATGGAGCAGTATTGCCAGGTACCCTTTCGGTGGGACAGGGTCATCGCATCGGATGCCGTGTTTGCACGAGGGTTGTTGCGCAGTTGGGCGAGAGTCACGCCCACATCGTTACGCAGGGAGTATCGCCGTGAGGCGGTCTCGGGAGAGCTTTGTGGACAGGGTCATATCGTGTCCTGTTGGGTGACGCGGTCACCTACGTGCTTCGTGCGCTGGATGGACAATCAATATTCGGGTGGCGAGAATCCCCGCAATGACCGGAGGGAATTTGAGTGTGCTCTGTGGGACACTTTGACTCTGGACCAGGCGGGAGTCCTCTGTGCTTGGTACAATTGGTACTCTCTTTGTCTAATGGCGAGAGCTGTGCACGCTCCGGACTTAACCAAGTGGTTTGAAACAGCCTTGGATGGTGTGGCCAGTCGACTGGAGGTCATCTTGGAGCAAGGATTCGACGGTGGTCTCGATTCCACCTACGTTGATGTGACAGTAGAAATGTGAAAGATACCCTGTAGAATGTAGTTCTTCGTTTCGGCAAGTACTTTGTGAACTTAACCCGATTGGGTGTTGGTGATAGCTTCATCTTGTTCGTGTGACATGTTAGAGTACCTGGCTACCAATAAATTCCCAACCTTGAGTAGGCAATCGTTGAAGCATTGACAATAAAATGATCACCCCCGGAGGGCATATCATGACTACGGAAAGCCACCTGCAGGGTTGCGGTCCATGGAGTGCCGTGAGGCACGACGATGGACTGTTCAAAGGTCACGAAGAACACGAGGGAGCATCGTAGGTGCGACCGGACATCACACAAAACATGAACCGAGAGGGAATGAGTGAGGGCGTAAGACCGAACGGGACAGAGATCCATCCAATGGGAGTCTGGGACGACTCCCAAAACAGTGTGAATCGAA